GAGAACACAAGACCAAAAGAGCAAAAGGCAGCAGGCAGCACAAAAGTCCAGGGGAAAACGTAATCAAAAACACTGGGCAACATCATCGATTTTCGAACAAGAAGGCGGCGCAGTCGCAGTCGCAGCTGACGTCGACGTTGGCAGTGGCAGAGGCGTTGTGATCCCTTCTCGCTCCCGCTCTTTATGGCCAACTCTCCCGCTCTAGCAAGGCATTGTTGGCAACACAACAGCAACACCAATACCTGTGCGCCTTACCTGCGAACAGCGGCGACTTCGAAATACAAAATAAAACCAAACAAAGAGGAATGTGTGCGCGAAAGATACCATACCATACCACCAACAACATAGCACAGCAACAACAACTATACCAACAGAAACAACAACAACACAAATTGAGGCTGGGATCGAAAGACTTAGGCTACATACGTCTGCACAACATACAGGGTGTCCACTGTAAACGAATGGGTTTTAAAACGAGCACTACACTACAGGTTAATATAAACATTTAAATGTTATTTTATATCATTTAGAATTTGGAGACCCTAAAGAATTATGGTTAAAAAGTCTGCAGGAAAAACAAAAGATATTTTTGGTTGGCACGTAGGCACATACCGAAAAAAATATTCAAATAACTTTCTGCTATTAAATTTTATCGCATCTTTTAAATGTTTAATATTTATATTAATTAATTGTTTTTTAAAATTCAATGCTGAAAAACATTGAACTTAATATAAGAACTTCAAAATGCACTAATGTTTGCCAATAATTCTTTGGAACATATTTGAGCCTCTTGATATAAACAATTTCGAGGGATTTTAAGTTAATATGTTCCTAAAGTACAAGAATATATAAAATCATTACAATTATTGTATTAAAACACCTAATGTTATTGAATGAAAAAATGACTAGAAATTACAAAAAAAATGTACATTCTATCCCATAAACCGGAGATAAATTTATAAATATAATAAACAGCAGCAATTAGCAGTAGCTTATTTAAGGAGTTCGTTAGGTAAGCTCAAAATTCCTTCGCTTTATTGCACCTGTTTTTAAAATCCCTGTCCATTGTTATGGAATCTCCCGATCTCTATATGGCGAAATGCTAATGAGTCAGAAGAGGTGTTATTTCTGGCAGTGTAATCCCTGTCTAAACCGACCAGGGCTACAAACCCTGATGCGTTTATAATTACTTCTCGGTAGGATGGTCTACTCACTTTTTTGGCCGGGTGCCTTGAGCTCCGGGATCAGGATGCGGATTTTGGCACTTGGTGAGGATCTATGGCACTCGAGCAAGCTGGAACTGTGGTGGATGCGGTTGGATCTGGCGGAACTGGAGCTGGATCTTTGAGTTTTGAGTTGCGAGTTTCGAATCCGGGGAGTCTGTAACCTGGGAGTCTGGAGCTGAACTGAAATGTGGTTGCTGGTTGTTGCTGTTTTGCTGGTGGGTGCACCTTTCGCCACTCTTTGTGCTGCTGTTATTGTTGTTGTTGTTGTTGTTGTGCGTCTGGGGGCTTTAAGCCTGGCTCTCTGGGGCCTTTTTGGCTTACACAATGCTCTTGGCTGGCTGCTTTTGGCCGCTTCTAATATGCCACTCTTTGTGGTATGTGGAGCTGTTGCTGTTCTTGTTGTTGTTGTGTTTGTGCATTTTGGCCTAACATTTGCCTGGCATTGGCTTTAACAAATCGCTGTTGCTGCTGCTGGTCATGTTGCTGCTGTTGTTGCTGTAGTGGTTGCTGTTGCTGTTGTTAATGTTGCTGCTATTATAGTTGTTAATATTTTTGCTGATGAACACTAGAAGGCGCAAAGTTAGGGGGCAGAGGGCGGGACGTTTCGGGGGCGTTTTGCCTGGCATTTGCGTTTTCGGTTTCTATTTATTTTTGTTGTTGTTGAGTATTTTCCACTATTTTCACGCGCTTTTCCGCACTAGCATTTGTTGTTGCTGCTGGTTCTGGCTGCTGTTATTAATCACTATTTTTATTTTGCATTTTATTATTCGCTGCTCAGCTTTGATGGCGTCTCATTCCAGCTCGCACACACACACACACACACTCACTCGAAAAGCACACGCTCTCCGAGAGACACACATAGATACACACACACACAGAAACTCACTCACACACACACGAGTTTTTTTTCGCTTTTTCAGCCTTCTCTTCCTCTTCGTGGCTGAAATTCGTGTGTGTGTTTTATTTAATTTCGAAAAAGTTTAAGCGCGACTTTTTGCTTGTTTGTTTGGCGTATAACTTTTGGATTTTGCGCCACGATCGAAACACACGCGTATTCACAGCAAATCTGGGTTGATAAAGTCCGATAATTCCGATTTGTATATATGTGTATAATATTGGTATTAACTTTCTGACTTTCCGTGTGCGCGGAAAACTTGTCGTCGCTGTCGCTGGATCTCGGCTCTCGGCTATAATGCCCAAAGAGTCAATTGGAGATTGTTCAACTGTTGAATGCGCTGCTGCCGCCGCTGCCACAAATTCTGCCGACGTCGGGCGTTTCGCTGTATTGGTGGCAAGGTGCTGTCCATGTGAGCTGCGCAGGTGAGAGAGCGCTGCTCGATTATTATTGCTTTTTATGGTTTCATCTCTTTCGTAACTGATATTGAGCGAACGGCGGCGGCAGCGACGTCGGCAGCGACAGCGCCACTCAAAAATTCATTCGAATCGATGATGTTGTCTCTACACTCTTGAAACACTAACATTAGTGCACGAAAACACAGGTAGCCACTGTATGTGTGTGTGTGTGGGTGCACCTGCAGAGGCCAAAAACGCAGGCAGGTACAAAAGACTTAGGCAACGAACCTTCCACTCAGCCATGCACTTGTAAAGAGAGAGGAAGGGTGCAAGAACCACCGACTGAGAGAGAGGGAGCGACCCTCAGCTTAAGTAATCCGTCCCTGCTTTTCGGATCTCTCTGACTTCACGTTCATTTCTGTGGCACTGCATTCATCTCACCATATCATCGAAAATTCGAATTCGCTTTCGAACTCGCCGACTTGTTGTTCTGTTTTTGTTGTTGCTGCCATTCGGCTTGTAAGCCCCGTGAAAGTGGTAGTGCAATCGGGCATCAGGTAGAGAAACAAACACACACATTGGTAAGAGAGAGGTGGAGTGGCAGTCGGAGAAAAAGAGAAAGAGAGAGCACCGCATGCCGAAAGAAAGCACTGCAATAAAAGCAGAGTTTCCCTACAAAAATATTCAAAATTTTATATTAGTATATTTTAGGAAATTTATTTATATTGTATCTTAAATAAATAGTAACTTAACTTTATTCATTTTAAAATTTGTTTGAATAGTCTGGCATTTGTATATTCGAAAACCTATCAAAACATGTGGTTTATTAAATACGTCGTCCTAAAATATATTAAATATAATATGATGTATGTTTCTTTAAATAGACGATTTTAAAATAATTTATAATAAATATGAAAAAAATTTGTTTTTATTTATTTATATTTTGTAGTACATTTTTCGCCAAATTCTCTGAATTAAAAAACCGGAAGTTGAACAAAAATCGATCTTATATCAGATGCAGAAATATGTTAGTCCTTTAATATTTACAAAAATTAATTTGTTTTTCTCTGTGTGGCATACGTAAAATAGTTGTGCATGTACCACAATCGAATACGCCAAGTAGCTGCCGCACAGCCACAGCCTCCGCCGTTCTCCGTCCCGCTTTTGAGCCCCTCACCCTCTCGCTCGCTCCTTGGGCCCGGCCGTCGGTTAACCTCAGTTGAGCTCCTACAACAACCTCACTTCGACATCGACAGGCGGCGGCAATCAGCGCTGTGTCGTGTGGATCGACGGACGAATGGACGGACGGAGCTTGTGTGCTTTCCGCCACGGTAAAGGGTGTCTCCCTCCCTCGCCCACTCGCTCCCTCTCTCTTGTTCGCTCTTTCTCGTCTCTGTTTGTCTTGTGGCGCTGCGCATGCGCACGCGTGTGGCTGCGGCTAAGAACGGCTTGGAGCAGCGTGCCCACCTGGTTTACACCGATGGATTTCGATTTTTACCTAGTGTAAAATATACTTGTAATTTTAACCGACTTTACTGTCAAATATGTTCAGATGTTCAGGGTAAAATAGTGTAGAAAACTATTTTCCATCGGAAAGAAAACAAATTTCAAGGAATTTAAACTTACAAACTCTCATTTAAAAATAAAAATACTTCTACTGACAATATTTGTAGAATAAAATAAATTTGTTATAAGTCATAAAGACTCTTGACTAGACTACAAAAACATATGTAATATTAAAAAAAAAACATTTTCATTTTGCATTTCTGTAAGTTAAAATTGTATATGGTATAAACACTAACAAGTTTACTTTTTTTTTAAATCTTTACTCATATTGGATGAATGGATCGAAATCTATTGAATTCACTTTTCAAATCGAAAAGTAGACTCTCAATACGAAAGATTATTTCCATTAAATTTGAAGGATTATTTTTGATTAATTTTATTATAATTTGAAGTCTTCTTTCTTTCAGGAGAAAGCGTTAAACGCAAACTCAGGATACCCATTTAATGTATATCAATGCCAAGTGTTATAAAAATAGTGATTGCAAAAAACGCTTTGTAAATAACTACAACAATCTTCGGCAATAGAGAAACTAAAATAAATAAAATGGTTAAGAATAAAGGAAAATGTGTTCCTTTTTTAACCAGGCGCCCATTTACAAAAATGTAGTCTTCAAGTTTGAAATTGAGTTTTATTTTCATTTCGGTTTATTGTTGCAATATATTAAATGTTTAAAACTAAATTTAGGCTTAGTTTAATCCATTTTGTATTTATTGATTTTGTTATTTTCGCGTTTACACATTAGTTGATTTTTTGTTGTAGTAAATTTAATTTATGGTTTTTAACTGGTCGAAACTTGATTACGTTTTTTGTACATATACCGCTAAGTAGTATATATATGCATGTATCTCGGTGTGTGCGTGTGTTTTGTGTGTGCGAGTGTGGCGGTGTATAAAACTAAACAAACAACAATCGTATTAAATGTACTTATATATTTTGTTTTTTGGTTCAAAAAGTCTTATATCTGTCCGTTCTGCAAAGTAAGAAACCGAAGAGAAACATTCACAATTAAATATTTCTTCGCTCCGCGCGTCCTTTTTAGCCAGGACATTGTTGTGCCTTACCTGAATGCCTAAAATTAATTTAACAAACCATGGAAACAGACATTGTTTTGTTTTTGGGGCCCCGATCAGCCGATCCCCGCCACCTTTAATAATGCAAAAGCGGTTGTCGAATTCTCAATTCCAAGTAGCAGCCTGAGTGACGCGTAAAAGTCAAGTTTTTAGGGACTGAATCGGAAGTATGAGGCTGTGATTTTTTTAGTTCGGAAATCGGATCTTGAAACGGGTCAGAACTGTTATAAAAAACATAGGAACTTATGTGGGGGCTGTCCAAAAATCTCAGACATTTCAAAAGCAATTATTTACCTTTAAGCTTTGATACTAAATTTATATAGATATCTGTTTTAGCCCTGTTCAACAACTAAGCTTTAAAATAAAATGGATAAATCACTGATTTGCAAAGAAATAAAATGGTAAATGTTTTTCTAAGGAGAACTGGAAAATGCTTAAATGCTAGTAAAGTTAATGTGTGTTTTTCTGTTCATGTTCATGTGAGAATTGGTGTCGATAGATGCATTAAAACTAGGCACACCAACTAGCTACGAAAATACATTCCCTGCTCCCCGCAACATAGGTACGCACATGAAAATTGTACTTTAATATTGTGCCTCAAAAAACAGCCAACATAAGGTCAAAGGTCAAACGTAAACTAACATAAGATTTAAAATTCATTGTTAACTTTTTGCCAGGGCTCGAACCAAAAGTCCACCTGCTTGTTCTGTGTTTATCGACTTATAAACTCTTTGTTTTGGTTTTTTTTTAATGTTTTTAGTTTTCAATTCGACAACTTTTTTGCTAAAATTTAAATGTAACCATACTTTTGTGTTTCGCTTGTTTTTTTGTTGTTATTTGTAATACTGTTTTTCGATATATAGTTTTTAATGCAGAATCGGGGTAATATAGGGGAAACTCTTGGAACTTCCGCTTCTCGAAAAAAAAACAATTGCATAATACATTTTGAGAGGATATATCTCTTGCGAAGTTCTGATTTTTTTGTTCTTTGTTGGCAGTGATATTGCGAAACGTTCTTCTTTCGGCTTGGAAATCAGCTCGACATCGAAATCATATAGTACACGTTAGTTATGCGTTTGTTTTGGTTTCGGTAAAGACTTTATAGGGAATATGGTCTGTTCTGGTCTGGCTCAAAGTACAGCTCAAGATGGGGCTTGTAAGATTTGCTTAAGAAAGGACTTGATCCTCATTGGTTTATCATAAGAAAGTAGAAAGTGTTGCCGTCTGCTGTGGTATTTACAAAATGCTTCGATGTCATTACTCGTATGACCTAAAACGATTTCAAAACTAGTCACGTTAAATGTCTCTATATATCCGTATATATATATAAGCTGGTTTGTATATATAATTTTATAAATTTATGTAATACGTTTAAAAAGATTTTTTTGTTTTGTTTCATTTTTTTTTTTTTTTTTTTTGGAAAAAGTATTTCTGTTACGTTGCGGTTTCTGATTACGTTTAAATTTACTTATCGTTTAGCGGGTTCCGTAATCTTTGTTGCAATTTGATTAATACGTCTCTTAGATCACTAGTATTACAATAGATGCTATTTGTGTCGCTCGTTTCGTATTAGCTTTCTGGTTGTTATTTTTTTGGTTTGGTTTTTTTTTGTTTTCTTTGGAAAATGCTTTCTGTGGTCAAACCAGCTCCTTAGTGTATGTGCTTGACTCTTTGGTTTGTTAACGACTAGAACGTAGGCAGAGCAGGAATCCTTTTTACGCATAATGCACATCGTCTGGCTTCCCTGCCCCTCCGGGATCCGGAAATTCGCGATTTCGGGGCTGCTTAAATGGTTCTACTAATGGATACATATTGCTTAGTCGATTGCAGCAGCGGCGGGGCGGAAAACCAGAGAAAAACCCATGGAGAGCAACAACGGAAGTCAATACAGCGCAACTGAATAGGCTCAAAGTCCGATCCGGGATCCGAAGAGGCCCAGGCGAAACTCTCTAAGTGGGACTATCCGCCTTGGAGCCGGCATTCGAGTTGTCTTGCAGTTGAGCGAGTGTCTTGAACTTTTGCGAGTTTAGGAATCTGTCGAATAAATGGAAGGGGAAGTATCAATATCAGAATTTCGGGCTTAGAATAAAAACCAACTCAAGACCTTAATTTTCTACTGACCTCGGATATGAGTCTCTGTGCATCAGTGTGTAGATCTGGATTTGAGCTTCGTCGAAGGTGTGCGTCGTGGGCTCGATCATGTTGCGGTTGACGATCTCGCGGACCCGCGAGTCCAGCGACACCTCCCTGGGCGACAGGATCGAGATATAGTCCTCGTAGATGAGGCGCGCCTTCTCCTCCACCAGCTCCGCGCTGCTCTCCTTCTTGAGGTCCTCGCAGGCCAGCCAGAACAGGATGTTTTCCTCGCTGAACTCGCTGCGCAGGAAGTTCTGGAACACCTTTCGACCAGCTGGGAACAAACGTATTTATAGAAGCATTAATATGGATCAGCCATATGACAAACCATTTTTTATTTGGCTCACCTGTGCTCTTCATCAGCTTGTCGAAACTCTTGCCCCAGCTGCGGATTTCCTCCAGTGTGGGTCTGCAAATGTAAAAATAATGTAAGTTTGTTTTCGCTTTTCTCTCAACTCATTTATTTGCATAAACTCACTGCTCGCCATCTAGGAACTCGGCATTGACGAGATCTCGCTTCGTGGGCGCATTTTCATCGGCATTCTTGATGGCCAGACTGCAAAGGATAAGGAAAAGCCGAGGGGCACTTGTTAAATGTCGATTGTTTTGATTTTACAGCTCATAAATCACCCTTTTAAGTAGACTACAATTTTATTCATCGCTGAATTGCCGCTCAGCCTGACTCATTTTGAACTGGCACAAAATAGCATAAATATGTAAATACAGTGGCCCCTCGATTGAACAACCTTTTAGATAACAAATGGTAGATAACTAGGTGCAAAAAAAATAGCACTTTGATATATTTAAAGGTGACTACAGTATATAAAATTAGAAATAAATGGAGTTGAGGTAAATCAGCGTTAATTACTTCGTTCTTTTTCTATTTGGATTATACAAAATGTAATTAGCAAGTTCAACACTTAAATATATACACTATTGACATACGAGACAAATCTATGTATATATTTATAGATGGAATAGGAAAGTGCAAAACATGTAAAAAAAAAGTTTGCCATGTACAAATATTTCCTCTTTTAACTCGTAATTTAAACCAATTTTTTTTTAGTTTTTTAAGCAAAATGTAATATAATTTTAATAGTTTACGATGTAAAGTTATTTATTATACTTTTGCCATACAAGATTAATCTATGTTTATATATAACTTGAAAATACCAAAATTTCAATGACATTAGTTTGCGGTATAAGGAGTGGCCACTGTAGATGGGCTAATGTCATATCGGTTTTGGGTTTCGAAGCCCGGAGACAGAGCACCGGAGTACTCGAACTTGACAAAGCTCTCTTATCTGCAATACAGTTATCAGAGCGACTCGCTGGCCCAATGCCTAATCAAAGTCACACAGCTGTACATACACATACATATACTCGCATATATGAATCAAATTATACGTGGTCAGGGGTTTGGGGGTTTTGGGGGTTTTCTCGGGTTTTTGGCCCTCTGGAAACCCCTATTTTCCGGCACACAAAGGTGCGGAGGGGGTGGCTAGTGGGCGATTGAGTGGGCGGGTCGAAAAGACTTTCGATTTCATTCACGAAAACATGCAACACTTGGAGGAGTCCGCGGAGGAGCCGCCACATACTTATTTATATTTGATTTGAAAAGTGCCCTCCAGAGAGCTTTTCGCTGCCCGACCACTTGCTCCCGGAATTGTGAATGAAAGCGGGAGAGACTAATACTGAGTGCATTGAAGAGTTCCACCGAAGAGCGAAAGCCCAGGAAGGGAGAAAGTTCGAAATTTTGGAAGAGAGAGCTTTCAAAATTAAACAGCGTTGCCAGCTGCCGGAAGAAAAGGCCACCGTATCCGTGTCCACTTTCATTTGAACTACCATGTCCATTTCCATTTCCATTTCCATTTCCATGTCCACGTCCATGTCAGTGGTCCCAGCCAAAGCTGAAGCAATGGTTAAAGACAAACCAATAACCATAGCCGTAGCCGTGGCCCTATCCATGACTGCACTGCGAGAAACTAGAGATGTACAGGGGTTGCATGTCAATAACATATCGATTTGGTCAATAGTCCAAAAACAAACTACTGAACTGTAAATCAAACTTTAAACCCATACAATATATCAAATCGGTCTCACTTGCCAAAAATTGCTTAGAAAATGTTAGCTCTGCCTTAAAACTGCACAATTTAAATTTCGATTAAAAGTTTTAAATCAAAAGCCTAGAATTCTAGGATTTCTAAAAATGTTAATCGAGTTTTAAACTGCATTATATTATGCATATAGTTGCTTAAACTTCTCATTTAATATCCAAGTCCCATAAAAAGTTAAAACTATGAAGTTTTAGGCCAAACCAAAGTCCTTAATTATTTTTCGCGGTGTAGGAAAGTATGAGTGCTTAAGGAGGGTACTTACCATTTGCCCCTGTTGTCACGGTTGTGGTTGGTATTATTGGCATTGGTAATTGTTGTTGTTGTTGTTGTTGTTGTTGTTGTGGTCGACGAAAGTTGAGTCAAGGCAGCGCGGTAACGAGAAAGAAATTGATTTCGTGTCAGAGTATTTGAGCGCTGAACAAACAGGCCATGTGGCTGTGTTTGTGGATGGGGATGGGGACATGGGATGGTACTCACCAGGAGCAGGAGCAGCAGCAGCACCAACAGAAACAGCACGGCTTCTGCGACTGGGGACGCTGCAACGTGGCCGCATTGGACTCCTGGAGGACATTGGCCGTGGAGCCGACTCCCACGCTGCCGCCGCCCACGGTGGGCGATACTCCGCCCAAGCTGCCGCCCCCTCCGCCGCCCCCAACGATGCCTACTCCTCCGCCACCGCCGTTGCCATTGCCATTGTTGCCACTATTGTTGGCAGCACTTTGCTGTGAGGATGCAGTCATGCCGCGTAATCGACAGCCACTGGGCAGCTCCGAAACGGTGCAGGACATGCCGCTACCTGCAATAAAGGCACAAATTGAAACGTTAATAAACCAGGTAATAGGCAGAGGGCAGAGGGCAGAGGGTGTGGGTGTAGGAAAATCCCAGTCACACGGAGAAAAACCTCTATTGTCAGTTGCCTCTTATCTCTCACTAACAATTTAATTGATAATTGTCTTGTCTTGTCATAATTACTGTTTTATTGATACGATTTTGAAATGAATAAACTTGCATCAACGCTCTGATTATGATAAAGATACAATAATTTACATTAATGTTTGTAATGTGAAACTAGTATATTAACTTGTTCAACATCATTAAATTCAATACCTAGCGTTTTGAATTTAATAATTCAACAGTACAACTGTCAACCTTAATTTTGTTACACAAGAACTTGTTGTCTACTAAGTAAAACAAACAATTTTGAAGCAAATTGAACTCGAAAAAATCTTGTGAACGAGAAAACTACATGAGCCTGACTATCTAAATGTTTTTGATCTTATAAAAAAGTCAATTTGAATTTAAATTCGATTTCAACAAATGCTTTGTAAGCAAAGGAAGGAAAATGTCTATTGAAATGCACTTAAAATTAAGTTGCTTGTATATCAAACTTATTCCTGACCATCATAGATCATACCAATAGCAATACATTTCATATGGTATATCACATGTTCTTCAATAATGAGTTTTAGGGATTCATACAATAACACCATACATTTGTCCTTTAAGGACATGTATTGTCTCATTTGAAAGGTATTGCATTAAAAGTAACAAATATATTTTGATTTTTGTAGTACACCTAACAGTTTAAAATATATTTTTATTCAATCTTATTTTGTTTAACTTATGTAATAAAAGTGAATGAGTAAGTTTCAATATTATTATTTAGTTGTTTTACAATGTTTATGATACAAATTAAAATTAAATTGCCATGAACAAATAAGCTTTTTGGTTCTCAACCATTAACTCTTGACTTTTATTTACGATTCCTGGCAAAAATAAGGTTCTCATGCTTAATGCAAATTCAAATTTACTAAATTTCTCGAAAATAAAATCTTGAGGAGGACTCCTAATTTTCAAACTGTCCGTAATTATTTGCTTCTTTTTTCCCTGTGCACTTACCTGCCCTTTGAAAGTTGAGGTTGACGCTGGTGGTGGAGGTGGAGGTGAAAGTGGGGGGTGATGGTGGTGCTGGTGCCCCAGCTGGCGGACCGCCCACTGCCACTGACCTACCCACTCACCCGCTCTCTCTCTCTCTCGTGCTCTTTTCTTCGATTCGACTTCTCTTGCTCGGATTTATATTTCCTTGGAGGAAAGGCAAAGGGAGAACGAACGAGGCCGTTACGTATTTATGTTTTTGCTAATAATTTTTTATCGAAGGTTCCCACTCTTTGGCGCTCTTTGCCTCCCTCTCTCTCTCTCCTGCTGCTCTTGGTTTTTGCTTTAGTTTTAGTTTTCGTTTTGTTTTATTTTTTTCTCAGGTTTTCCTTGGGAACTTTTACATGCCCAAAAATTCCATAAATTCTTTTCGATTTTTCAGATAACTATTCGAGTACTTAAACCTATCGGGGATCCTGATTTCGCGTGGGTTTTTGGGTCCTGGGTTTTTTTGGGGGGGCGTTTGGTGTTGGTGCGAACTATTTGTTGGTGGTGGCGCCTACGGCATTTACATATTCCACTCTGGATTCATGGGCAAAAATCTAGCGATTCAATGGCCCCGTGCACCAAGGGGCACATTTCACAAGCGTTACGATTACGAAATTTATGAGCAGCTGGAGCTGCCCCCGTAGTTGTTGTTGGCTCTGGTTATTCTGGCCTTTATTTATTTCTTGGGCTAGTCATTACACTGATATACATATACATATCCAAACAAGTGTGTTTGACACGCAACTTGGCTAAGTGGAGCGCATTGTTTGGCCCGATGGGCGGATGGGGCGTATGCGTGATTTTCTCCACTTGCAATGATGTTGCTGCTGCAACAGCTGCAACATGTAGATTTTTGTTTGGTCGTTGCACTTGTCACAAGTCAGCTGCTTTTGTTCCTTTGTTGACCATCGCCTTAATCTAGCTATCTATATTATTTGATTTTGTTTTATTTTATTTTGTATTGTTTCGCCAGCTCTTCCGTTCATATTTTCACTCAAGCACACACACGTATTTTCTTTGAGAATTTGGGTGGCGAATTGGGTGGGCGGGAAAAGGGGGACGCGTTTGTGTGTGTATGTATGTATTTTGAGGAGCAACCGACGAGTACATACGAATTTTTGCCACTAGAATTGGAATCGAAATGTGTGTATATTTGTATATATATTTCTTTTTTCGCCCCGAAAATGTTTTGCTTGTGCTTTGCTTTCGTTTTGTTTTTTTTTGTTGTAAGAATACGAATTAGTGGGGGAACTGCAATTTTCGTGGTCACTCGACGATGGCCTGGACTGGCATTTTCACATTTCCATTTTCACATCTCGCCCTCGGCCATATTTTATTTTATATTCCTTCGTTCTCGATTTCCCATTCGATTTCTGCGCTCTGCGATTTTCTGGCTGCTCACCACACAGCACACAATCACCCAGAAGCCAAAATCCTCGAAAAAGTCGGTTCGAGCGATTCGAGATTCGAGATTCTCTCCGCTCGGGCAAAGACAGGCGACTGATTTCCAAGCAGTGCCGTCTCGCCAGCTCTTGATTTTCCAATGCGCGCGCTCCTCCCGAGAATCCAAGATAATGGCATGTGGGAAAGTTGGTAGTGGGAAGCAGGGGCGCTTCAAAGGTGGGCTGAGCGAAAAGCTCCGTGGCATAGCTATACAGTTAGAATTCCTGGTACACACAGGAGAGAGGGACAGAGAGAGATTGGGAGCAGAAAGACATGTGCGCGAGTCGGACAAAGAGAATAAAGCTCGGGACTCTTTGCTCTGCTGGAATTCCCCCCAAAAGCTTTGGGGCCAAAACTTAATATCGGCGAACAGAGTTGCATTTTGCTTTGATTTTGGAATCCCGTTTGTTTTTGGAACCCGGAACGTAAACTAAAAACTTATTTAGTTCCTTAAATCAGTGAGATATTATTTAAATGCTAAAAATAACTAAATCAACCAAAAGTTTTGGGTCCAAAACTTGAAAACGATGGACAGCGTTGAATTTTGCTTTGATTTTAGAATGCCGATTTTTTTGGAACACGGGACATAAATTTAATTACGAATTTTTGGTTTTTAGATCCGTCAAATATATTTTTTGTAGTTGGTGGGGACTGCTTTTAGAAGTTTTTTAGTCTTTAGGATTGTTAATGTTCGGATCATCAAGGATCTTAATAATTCTAAGCCGTAAAAAAAATAAAATGAACAAAAATTAATATGGATAAATCTCTTAATTTTAAAAATATTGGGAATACTTAATACTTTACACGATACTGAGAAATGCTAAACAGTTTACATCGTTCCAAATGGTTTCTGCATGTTAATAAAATTCAAAAAGACTAACCGTATTTTTATAAGCATTTAAAAAGCTTATACCATGTAGAAACAAATACTTTCCTTTAGTTAAAAATTAATATAAGTATTTATTCACTATAGAAATTTCACAAAACTTTCGGAAACCAACACAACTACCATACCTAATTTACGTGTATAGTCGGATGGTACAGTCGGCGCCCGTGGAGAAGACCCATGGCTGCACCGGATGCCAGTTGACATCCAGTACGCCGAACTCATCCCGCTTCTCGTGAGTCTGCAGCTTTTTCAGGGGAACAATCAAGGGGTTCTGCAGCAGGTCACTGAAATTGGATATGGAAATAAGTAACAGAGAAGGGGTGCAGTGATTTAAAAGCCACTTACTTATAGACCATGCCGTGGGAGACGATCACAGCCTGGTCATCGCTGCCAGAAGCAAACAGCGGATAGCGGAGGTGGAAGGCCACACTGCGGACAGCATTCCGATGGAGTCGCATGGTCTGGTAGGGCTTAGTGGACAGATCCAGGTCAAACCAGAGCATCTTTTTGTCGTAGGTGGACACCAGCAGATTGTCGCCCTTGGGATGGATGGACATGCCCGATATCCACTTCGAGTTGGTCAGCAGTTTCTTGACCAGCTCCTGTTTGACCAAGTCATAGATGCGAATGTTGTGTTGCGTCTGTCCAAAAAGTTAAAATTAGTATACAAACAAAAACAAAAATTAGATAAATTCTAGTTACCGCCACAAAGAAGCATGGCTTCACCGGATGGAAGAGCACAAACTGGATGAGACCCTTGCTCTTGGAGAACGGAATCTGTGAGCGACGCTTGGACAGCTGATGGATCAGAGCCGAGCGATTGGCTCCCTCGGGCATCACAGTGGCCAGATAGTCGCCACGTCCGTGCCAGGTAACCTGGCGAATGGGTTTGAAGTGGGTGATCACCACCCGGACGCCCTTCTCCTGCTCGTCGGCCTCGGCATTGGACCACTGCACCGCCGTCTTGATGCGCTCACTCTCAATCACATCCTGACTGGGCGCCTCGGCCAGCAGATCGTCGGTCTTCTTCACCAGCACCTTGTCGCCCACTTTGGGATTGACAAGCAGCAATCGGTTGCCGGTGGCAACGGCTATAATAGATAGCTTGGGATTTGGACACCAAGCCACGCAGCGCACCACTTCGTCGGTTTCGATTGTCCGGATGCAACGGCCAGTGGCGATTTCCCAAACTGCAGAGAGAAATTATAAAATATAAGTATCGGTTAGTATACAATAGAATAGATTACATGGAATTATATTTTGTACAAAACTGTAGTTAAGACCACTTAGAATTTATTTTAGCCATATATTTTATAGGGTCGGAAATGTCGCCCTCACTATGTGAAAAGCTTCAGACACTGCAAGAGTATAAAAAGAGATAAAGTAACTCACTCTTGACGGTTTTGTCATCAGATCCGGAGACAAGGTACTCGCCCTTAGGCTCCACGCTAACAGACCGCACCAGGTCGGAGTGGCCGCGGTAAACCATGCTCTCCACCGTGGGGAAGGGCTGCAGGTCACGCGGCGAAGGCAGCTTGGGGATGAGGTACTCGGCGTCGATGTTCAGCTTGACGCGCTTGGCACGCGGACACAGGTAAAGATCGAGGCAGCGCAGGAAGCGCTCGCGCAGGTACCTCGAGTAGGCGGGCACCTCGCGCAGCGACTTGAACTTCTGGGGCATAAAGTGCAGCTTGCGCTTGTGGGGCTCGTCCTTGAGCTTGAGCCACTCCTTGGTCTCCTTGGCATCGAAGAGGTACTCGGGCGGTGGATTGTAGGACTCTGCGTGACCGGGCAGGTCTCGTTTGGGCGCCGATACGGGATCGTGGATGCGTCGCATGTGCTCTCGCGCAGTGTCCGTCTCCCACAGCATGTAGAATTTGGGACCGCGCTTGGCCTGTTTCTCGCGCTGCACCTCCTCGGTGGTCTTCATCCAGCCCATCTTAAGGGCGTGTACCATGCGCGAGACGCGCTTCTTCTCGGACACGGAGGGCAGGAAGGAGCGCTTGTGGTCGGGCACGTTCTTGATGGGCATCTTCTCCACCTCCGAGGTGAACCACTCGATCCAGGGCTCGTACTCCTCGTGATCCTTGTTGGGAATGCGGCCCGAAACGATGCGTTTGATCAGGGCAATGTCCTCGTCGGTTAGGCGAACATCCTGGCCGGTCAGCGGATCCTTGACGGTGCGCCAGAAATCCGGGTCCTCGATCTTGCGCAGGAACTCGTCGATTTGATCGCCCTGCGGCGGCTTCACAATCTTCTTGGCATCCCAGTCGTAGCCAATGTGTTTGTACTCGTCGTACCAGTGCATGGGTATGTTGCCCACTGTGTTGCGTATGTCCTCCTCGTCGGAGGTGTCCGAATCTTGGTATTCCGGTTTGGATTGGGATTCCTTTTTGGGCAGTTCCTTTGTGGCGGCACCTTTCTTTGTGGCGCCACTGCTGGTGCTGCTGCTGGGCTTCTCCTCGGATTGGATTTTCTTGGATGTGCTGGCAGATACTTCATCCTTGTCTTCCGAATCCGCCGATTCGTCCTCCTCTTCGTCGCTGCTCTGCTCTTCATCATCATCATCCTCTGCTGATGAGGATTGTTTCCTGCCCAAGTAGTTGCCCTCCTCGTCGCTCTCAAATTCCAGTTCCTCGCTGGAGTCCGAGTGGTACTCCTGGTCTATGCCCTCGTCGTCGGTGGAGTCCTCTCCTGGATCCTTAACGGCCTGCATCAAGTCCTTAAGAACCAAAAACACAAATGCATGTGATATGTGACTGACTTTTTTTCGCTTGTCGAAGGGGCGGTCTTACCTCCTCTTCCTCGTTTTCGGAGGCCTCCGAAGTGGTGGCTACTTCATTTGTGGGCTCCGCCTCCTTTCCCTTGCGCTTTAGATGTATTTTTTTAGTCATTTTGAGGGAAAAACAAAACTAACGCGGCGCACGTGTTGCAGTCAGCGATAGTGATGGCAGTTCGATGAAACGGTGGCCTATCGACAGGGTTGCCGCCACTGCTGTTTCTTATCGGTTGCAAAAATTGCTATAGATCGCTAACATTAATTTTAAAGATCATTTTAACGGATCGGACTAGTCGTTGACTTCAAGCCATCGAGACTGATTTTTTCTCTAAAAGTTGCTTCGCCTTAGCTTCGTTCTCCGCCAGATCCATAATTTTCCACTGTTTCTCAATCTATGAAATCGCTTTGCTTATATTATGGTTGTTATTTATTAAGAATCACAGTGGGTTATGATTAATAGTTGTACATATTTAAATGTATTTAATGAAAACAAGTTAACTATTTAAATGTCAGACATTAAAAGTGAATAAATAGCGAAGTAAAGTTCGAAAGCTTCGAAAAGATCTGTGTTGGCTGGTGTAATGCGATTGCTGCGCTATTGTGAGCTGCCTGAAAATACCCTAACGCCAGTTGGGGGATTTTCGGTTGAACCATTTTTCAGTGGATTTCGTCGTTTTCCTAACATTTTAATGGTAGAAAATCGTTTTCCTAACGAGTGCTGCGTGGGCAGCACTGCGGCAGAGGGTAAGCGAGCAGAGATGGAAAAACTGCAATGTTGACCCGCAAAACATCGATAAAACCGATACTTCGAAAACATCGATGCTGGCATCGATGTTTCTCCACCTCTAAGTGAATTTCGCGCAGCTTATGTACGTGTGGATTTCGTGGGGCCAGTGCAGACATTAAAGGTGACACACGCCTCAACTGGAGCACCGGGGGGCCATTACTCATCCGTATTTCGAATACCATCGATTTGCAGCTCACTCACAAGGGCAAACAAAAGAAGCACCAGCACCCCCAATCGCACATACAGCCACCTACACAAACGCAGACTCACCCACACAAACAAACACACACACACACACACAGAGAGAGGAAAGTCACAATGACTGCGCCGCGTCGCCTGCGAAAAGAATTAAGCGACTTGCAGGAGAACACACTGAAGGCTTTTAGGGACATCAAGGCGGACGATGACAACCTGCTGCGCTGGACGGGATTGATTGTGCCGGACAATCCGCCGTACAACAAGGGCGCCTTCCGCATCGAGATCAACTTCCCGGCGGAGTACCCCTTCAAGCCGCCCAAGATCAACTTCAAGACGCGGATCTATCATCCCAACATCGACGAGAAGGGGCAGGTGTGTCTGCCCATCATCAGCACGGAGAACTGGAAGCCGGCCACGCGCACCGACCAGGTGGTGCAGGCCCTGGTGGACCTGATCAATGACCCCGAGCCGGAGCATCCGCTGCGGGCGGAGCTGGCTGAGGAGTTCCTTAAGGATCGCAAGAAGTTTGTGAAGAACGCCGAGGACTACACCAAGAAGCATAGCGAAAAGCGTCCAGCGGACTAGCGGATGGGCGAAGGTGGAGGAGAATCCATGTACACCCTCGTCGACCCCTTAGTCTTGTGATTTTCAGTTAGTTATTTAATTTCCATTTTCGATCCCTCAGAAAACATGTAAGCGTATTTCCTCGGCTGAGTACCTAGTTTTGTAAAAGTAGCACTGTAATTTTATGCAAGTGAGAAATACATGTTCGTTATGTTAAAACACAGCCGCTGGGTCTTGGATTGTGGACACCTTCGAGTTGGCTGTAGAAACCACAGGCATGGGAAAGGATTCCTCGCCCAACATGCCGCGGAAACAGGTCAGCAGCACATTGTTGTTGTGCTGGATGAGGGCGTTGCTGAATTTGTTCTTCTGCAGCTCCTTGATATCGAGCAAACTGTGGATAGCCATTCCCGTCTGCTCATCTTTTTGGAGTTCCTGCAGCACATTTTCTATCTCATTTCCCGCTGCTGATTTAAGTGAAGTCAATGAGAGGGTTTGCGATTGATTGCACTCGAAACTGCAGTCCTGGTAAATGGTTTCCATGAGGAACAGCAGCAGGGAGGCGGAATAGTGGGTGAGGAACAGGAACTTGTGGAAGATAATGCTCTGAGGCTGCAGTTCTTGGACTGCTTTTAGGAGATCTATGAAAAAGCGTCGCTGAGCGGAGTGGAAGCTTTCATTTTCCGCGGGTGGCAAGTAGTTTATTGTCTTGCTATCCAACTGACACTTGGGCGCAGACTGCCAAACCGGATCGAGATCAAAGGTGTCCAGGATGCGAAGGCGCAGTATAAGTATGGGCTCCGAGGCAAACATGCTGCTCTGCAGCTGCTGGACTGGAGCTCCTCTGGAAACACTAAGCTTCAGGGTTCCCACTCTATCCTTAACGTACGAAGCAATTGGCCTGCCACTGGGACACTTTTCCAATTGGTTAAATTCCCGGCGCAGGCAGTATATCTGCTTGAGCAGATCACCGTGTTTCAAGTTCTCTCGTTCTGTGTAGGATCCGCCGTAAACGGGTACAGAAAAGCCCAGGGCCTTGCTAGTCGCCTTTTTGTCCACGATGCAGAGACTATCCTCCAGAGGTTTCACTTTATAGCGACTGTAATAGGTGCTCGAAACGAGCCCTCGCAGGTGGTGGAGGTGTCTCAGATAATGGCGATCATTGGACTCGTAGGCATAGATGCTTCCCTCGATGGCATCCGACTGCAGCTTCATGTACAGCCGGCAAGCAATCTCGTGCTGCATCAGGAAGTCTTGGGGAATCTGAGATCTGGCAAAGAGTGGCATTACCATGGTGTCATTGGGCTGAGCAAGCTTGGATTGCATCTCTTTCAGTAAACGGGGCAAGCCGGGAGTATCCTTCTGGTAATTCAGACAGATGACATATACTTCAGAGTTTCCCCGCTTGGATGTGGCGGGCTTAAAGATGTGGACATGCTCGAAGATGCAATTAAGCATGTAGAGTAGTGACACACTGCAGGCCTCGAAGAGCGTGAACATCTTCACCAGGAAGCTGCCTCCCGCTGTGAGTATCTTTAAGGCGCTCAGTACTTCGGCACAGAACAGGCGAACCACAATCTCCTCTTGGCAATCCGGCTGGGCAGCACAATCAATCGAGCCATCGGCGGTGACCAGATCCACTTGACCCTGGAATACATCCGCGCAGCGTTCCGCCAGATGATCAATATTGGCCACATCCAGGAGGTTTCCGGTGAGATCCTTGTGAAAGAGCCAGTTGCCCAGCGTGTGGAATATGAACCTGTCATCGCTGATCATGTGGTTCAAAGCATTGCCCTCGTAATAGGGATTCAAGGTGGTCGATCGCCAGCGCCACTTAATCTGCAATAAGCCTTTAGTTACTGATTTTGTCAGGGATTACTTGTTAACTAACCTCAGCTGGAGAGTATTTACTGTGCAGGTAGTGGTTTAGCGATGCAATAAATGCTCCAGGAGCCTCGCAAAGATGCAGGGTGTTGACCACAGGAGTCTTGATCAAGGGGTAGCGATGCAGGCATTCGAAGAACTTGCACCAGGCCACGGTGACAAACTCTGCCTTCGTATCATTCTTCAGGCGCCAGGAAACCTCGCCAGAAGGATCCCGTCGGTTGGTGTGAGCACTCCACTCCTGAACCCCATAATCATTGAGTCTGCTTTTCATAGCATTCAGTTGCTCCCGGAGGCCCTGCAGTGCCTCGAATTGGTAGAACTCGCTAAAAAGTGCCCCATCCTGTGAAGGCAACTGCCAGGACTCAATTCCTCGTGGCTTTTGATAGTGGAACTTCTTTTCGAAGAGTTGCTCCAATTCGGAGTGCCTGATGGCTTGATAGTCCGCCTGAAATTGTGGAAATCAGGACGAGCTAAGGATACTGTAGGTGTCGTTAACTCACCATTGGATGTGGCTTTCCCTGCAGAGGCGGATGAAAACTTTGCTTAAGCGGCGAGTTCATACCGGCAGAATTTCGATTAAAATTTGCAAAAACAACAACACGATCTCTGGCAGATTTGCAAGTTAGAGATGAACAAAGCTTAATGCCATCCATCGCCACAATAATATCGATAAGAAGCGAAAGCCGGAGAGCTATCGATTAATTTATCAAATTTGAATTTTTCTTGCAAAGATGATTTGGGACATCATTTTAAATTTGCCTTCTTTATTATTTAATTTTACATCTCTACAACCTAAGATTTTAATAAATTAGTAAAACTTAAGGCCAGAAAGGTGTTTTAAGATTAAATTGTTAAGTGATTTAAATAATCATTTCAGATGTGCTTTAAGGGTGCTTTATAGGTCATCTTATTTTAATTCAATATTTCATTCTTGTGATACATTGGAAAACTTAAATACCGCTTTAACTTTTTAAGTTTACAATTTGAACAAAGATTTGTAATTTGTAAAAAAAAATAATCGTTTTAATGAAAGTTAAAACTAGATTCTGAGGAATATACATTTATGTATACATTTTGTAAACTCAAGCGTAAATTGTAGCTTAACCTGTCCCGTTGAAATTTCTAAGAGTTGGTTCCTGTATAAAAACAACTTCCTCTTCACCTACCAATACCGATCATCGTCAAAGCATTTCCCGTAGAAATGCAATATGTGCCTGAAATACCAAATGACTTATTAAAATTAATTTCTTTGGTTCTATGGATAGTTTTTTTTTTAGAAAGCGCAAGCCGAACGCCAGATAAGGGGCCTTCAAACTACCTGGTTACGAAACTATTGGTCATCATCCGTTAGAGCACCGATTGTGAATACTAATATTTAATTAAATTTAATTTTATTGATGCGGATAGGACATACATAGATGGAAGTGGGAGAAATTGTTAGGCGGTATCCTCAGATTTGTGCCTCCCGTAGTAGTGGTGATGTGGTTATGTCTAGGGGGTTTTAAAGTTTCAGCTTTGACCATCGTGGTCAATGGGTTTGCTTTTGCCGACTTTATGGCCATTTGAACGTGATTCGTGTGCATATGAATAATAATAACTATGTTCAAGTTATGAGTTTCCAAAGCTGACAAAAGCAAAGGATCGAATTCTTTGCTTTGCTTTGCCACTGACGACTGCCTTTCTATATCCCCACATATATGTAAATAGCAGTCGGAGCATATATATACAAAGCATATAGGTGTAAGTCCCCAGACCAGTATTTGTGCTGATATGTGGGTATATAGAAAAGACCGGCACGTGACTGTTTTGTATAATCGTGCATAAATATCTGTAATGTAATGCCTATAGATGGTTCACAGAAGCCTCGAGAGTGGCTTCGGCGTAATCGTCCCGGTGAGATCAGTTCCTTACTTACTCCTTCTGTATCTTCTAAAACTCTTTCTATGCTTTTGAGCGGAAGTAGATATGGCTGCGCATGCGCCGTGTTTGGCGCTGAATTCTACCCATCATGGCCAATGCATTTTTGGGTCCCGCTTTTGGACCGACAAATTCCAATTTCAATTCCAATTCCGAAACGGCAGCGACAACGACTCGGACGTGGACATGGCTATTGTTGGCAACAAAATTTTATTTCATTTCATATTTTTCTCAAAAGGGAGTTCATTAATATTCCGGGCAGACGGCATTGCGCTAAAAAGCGGCTTAAGCGGTGCTCCGTCTCAGTGTCTCAGCGCGTCTCGCCTACCTGTCGGCGGGTATACACTGTACACTGTACAGGTATCACCCCCACTCTGCGACGGTGTGCGTGAGCTGGCAACGGGCCGCAATCCCCTTTTTTCCTCCATGTGTGAGTGTCAAATGCCAGCTAATTGAAACTTCTTCAATTGCCGAGGTGTGGTGCTGAGCTCGTCGTTCGGTTTCGGAATCAGTTGCCAATTAGTCTCCATCGCTGACGGATTACACTTGCCATCGTCCGGTAGTCTTAAAATCCATTCCAACATTCCAAGCCAGAAAACCAGCAGTCCACATGAGCTCACAGAAAACTTGTTAAGTGCTTTTCAAAACAACAAGCGTTTCATTGATAAAAGCCATTGACAACAAGCGAGTAATAGAAGACTATTTGTGCGGGGCTAGTGAGAATATTTTTTGGTGAACTGTGTGCGAACTCGATTGTTGGAGTTTTGTATGTTTGTATGATTGATCGTTAAAGCCTCACATCTGTTGGTAAATTGGCAAGATGTCGGCATAGCTGACGTTGAAAAGCGATTTTAGAGAGCGCTATGCTGCATCTAGTCAGTTGTTCAATGGAACAGTCAACAAGATCAAAAGCAAACCACTAAAAAAACTGTTAAAATACATAATGATTCGAATATAATACGTATATTGGAGCTATGGTAACGTAAAAAATCGATAAAGCTGATCTAAAATATATATAATTTTCAAAACCTTGTTATCCATTCACCTTAAGTTGTTGTTTATTTCAGATGGGGTTCGAAAAGTGAGATGCCTTTAAAGGAAAAATGTCCAAGAAATCCAAAATAATACGAACGAGCAAATCAGCTTCAACGGAGCCAAAAATAGATGTTGAAATTTATGTATATATTATGTTTTCTATTAAACCAATTTCAATGGACTTGGCTTCAGAAGTTAGCAATTTATTGCTCTTTTTAAGCAACACTTTCATTAAAAAATTGATTATCAAATTATCAAAAAGCTAATTGCCAATAAATACAGTATCGATTAATACAAATCAGTTGTTTTGATTTTTTGTTTACTTTTCAGCTATTTATTTGTTTAATGAAACAAACAAATTCAAAACGGCGCTAAAATCGATAGCAGCTCGATAGGCAGTGCCGCAAATCGAAGTAGGCCAAACGATGCTATCGATGGCAATAGTCGCTGGCATTACATCTCTAAACAGCTGTTTTGTTTAACAAAACACAATTCTTTGCCAATTGTTTACAAAAACACTCGAAAAGAGGCTAATCAAACAATTGGCGAGCTGTTGAAGGCTGGCCAATCTCAGATTAAACTATTCCATAAGTGATGGATAGCCAGGTGAGTACTTACAGCCTGTTAAATGCGAATCGGGGCATTCACAAGATAGTAACTACTACTACAACTTGGCCTGGGACTGTGGCTAAATTATCGCTTCACAGCAATTAGTCGTACTTATCAAGGCGCCCCATTGTGATAAATTTAAATACGCGAGCTATACCGTGTCTCCAGTATTTGGTCGTACTGCCGCAGAGTGACGTAATTGCGCTGCGGGGGCGTTGTTCTCGTTCTCATTGCCTGGAGATACTATAGATACACTATATTTGTTCTGCCCCAGGCACCGATCGATGATCTGCTGCTGGACATTGTAGACAATGCTTGGCGCATGGAAGTTCTGCCCTTCGACCAGATTCTAGTGCCACGCGAAAAGCTACCCGATCCGGAGGCCGACGGCGGTGATTCACACCTGACTGTCAGCGAGCAGGTAAGCAATTTGTATGGGATTTGCGGGAATCAACCTCTTATTTCGTGGGTTTCGTCGTTTCGCCTTCCCACAGGAACAAAAGTGGACTGATCTGGCCTTGGGCTCACTGGCACCGGACGCAGCCCTCATCGATCAGCTCAACATCACCTCTATCTAACCAAGGACCGCGAGTCCAAGGGCGAGGAGCCCCACCGCCTCGCCCACCAGCCTGCTGTTGGCGCCACAGGCCCAACTACTAACACCCCGTCAACATGACTAGCAACAACAACCAGAGCACCAGCCTGAACCACCAGCACCTGCACTCGCCCTCCAAACTCACCGAATTCGCCCGCAACTTTGAGGATAAGCCGGAGTCTCTTTTTGGCCGGGTGGTGAACAAGATCCAGAATGTCTATAACCAGAGCTACAACACCGTCAACGACATATCCAGCGGAAGCAGCAGCAGCACCAGTGCCTCCTCGCAGTCCGCCGTCCAGGTGGTGGGCAAGTCGCAGTTCTTCAGTGAAACCCAGGGGTCCACTGGTGAAGTCGCCAATGTGGACACTGCAAGTTTGAGCTCTGTCCGCCCGCAACCACCCACCACGCTCAGCATAAGGAGCAACAGTGAGTCACGGAGCACGGGCACAGGCACCTCCAGCAACACCGCCGCCGAGGATTCGGAGGCCAGCGAGCGCATCGAGGCGCTGCCCATGCCAACCAGCGAAGCGAATCAGGGCCGCACCGTTTCCAATGTGCTCAAGCACATCAGCAATATTGTGGCTACAAAAAACAATAATGTGAGTGAAAGTTAGGTTCCCATTATCGCTTCAAAGCCAAAGTGGTAAACCAAAAAAATATTCTGAGATAGTGATTCATAGGAAGTTTGTAGGCTTTATTAAATACTTGCTTATGTTGACTAATGTCTTTAAAAATAGTTCTGTCCCAGAGAGATAATTTCAACCACACAAAACAAAACGAATATAATTCAATTTATAATTTACATTATACAAATTTATTTATTTAAGAGATAAGTTTAATTACATTACATAATAATAATATATGAACAAAGGAGATACGTTGAAGCATATAAAACAATATGAATATCAAGAAAATATCTTTCAAGAGTCTATGAACTTGTCATTGAGCAAATGAGATAATTTGAACCATATCAAACCAAACAAATATTGTTATCTTATGATTTATTATTTGGATGAGAGTTAAATATTCTTAAATTGTTTTTATTTACAAAACTTTTTGAACATTGTTAACTTTTTAATTTTCTCAACAATTCTTTTCAGGATCTGCGTAACTATAAGGATACAGAGCTGCAGCGCTTCTGGATGCCCGACTCGAAGGCCAAGGAGTGCTACGACTGCTCCCAGAAGTTCTCCACGTTCCGGCGAAAGCACCACTGTCGGCTGTGCGGTCAGATCTTCTGCTCCAAGTGCTGCAACCAGGTGGTGCCCGGCATGATCATCCGCTGCGATGGCGACCTCAAGGTGTGCAACTACTGCTCCAAGATAGTGCTCACCTTCCTGAAGTCCTCCAGCTCCGAAATGGGCCAGGATCTGCAGGCCCTGCAGCAGCACTTGAGCAACAAACTGGAGGTGCAAGACAGCAGTGGCACGCCGCATGCAAAGCATCCGCAGCAGCTGAGGGCACCGCTTTCCCG